CAGAAGCTCCCTAACTAAATCCTCACTCACTCTAGGCCCAGGTGAGCCCGCCCCGGGGCGTGAAGGGGGCCCAGCAGGGAGGTGGCAGTTCTGGTCCTTACTGAGGAAGACAGAGGCAAAGAAGTTATTAAATATGTTGGCTTTGTCGTCTGGCGTGACCACCAGATTCCCCGTCTTGTCCTGCAAGGGCCCCACATTTCCTGGGGCCTTCTTTCTTCTCCCTACGTACTTAAAAAAGGACATCGGAAAGGAAACCTACTGGCTACTGTCTCTCATTAGTTGGGACATTTCTAGGCCCTGGATTGAATTTAATTCCATCCCATGCAAGCGATGTGGTGGTCTGGATTTTTTTACACACTGCAATTTACAGAGCTAGCACCAAAGTACTAAATTATTAAGCTAGTGCTTTAATGGAAACCCCTGCACAGGCTTAAACTGTTTCCACACTACTTGGTGTTTCCTGCTCTGCTGGTTTGCATTTGGTTCTGTGTGTGAAAGGGCCGAGAGAGGAATCCACAGGGACAAACAGAGGCAAAAGCAAGGATTTCAACCTGAGAGCAATAGGAAGCAGGCTAAGAGAATGAAAGGTTAATGGATCCTGTATCCAGCACTGGTGGAGGTGATATAAAAACTGCTTTTCAGTCCCCAGGGCAATAAAGCAGACACATGTTGTTTTAGTGCTATTTGTAACTTGGATTTCTTAGTAAAATATTTTCTTTCCTGCCAGTTTTTTTTTCTCCCCTTGATTTCTTCCCGAGTGTTTGAAAAGGAGTGCATGTGTGCATACAAACACAACTCCTTCTATTTTTTTTAAGCTTTGCCATGCTTGGACAAAATCAGCTGAGTTCAGTGCTCATTTTAGCAAACCTTTGTCTTCGGTCATCACCCCCCAGATGCACAACCCAGACTCAAGAACAGCCAAAGAACTCTTCCTACTCACTTCATGCTAGGGGATGCTGGCATGGGATATCAGTTGTACATGTGGTTTGCAGTACCACAGATGGCACGCAGGCTAATTTGCAGTGCAGTAGGGGTTTGTTTTCTTGTGACACCAGGAGATCCTGAAGGAAAAAAAAAAAATGGCCACTAAAAAAAGCAGTGTGGTGCATGTGGCAGCAGCATACAGTGCCAGAAAGGGAGTCTGGCCAGCTGCTTGTCAGGCACTGAGCAATCGGATCACAGCCAGAGTGCACATGCAGGGGCATGCCTGAGGACAAATAGCAGCAGCAAAAATATGTGCAGCTCCTGTTTGTCCCATAAGGAATGCACGTGTGCGCTCATGGGAATGCACCCATTTAATTCAAACAAGTTACCTTGGTTAAATCTGTCCATACCAGCCAGCGGTATTTGGTGCCAGTTGGGGGGAGGGGGATGAGAGAGAGATTGTCTCCTCATCAAAAATGCCTTTACTTCCCACTGTATGCAGTCATGTGACTAGATAATAGAAACTCTTTACAGGTACACTGCCTATTTGTCTCACCATGGGACCTTGAAATGAAATACTGGTGTTTAAAGCAGAAGACCAATGGGCTAAAGCAAAGCAAAGCCATCACACTGGCTTTTTCTTATCCTTAGCTAGTTGCTAACACTAACATTTCTTTAGTTACAACTGTGTTCCCTGAAGTCAGGATAAAATATGTCCACAGATCTGTCCTCCAGTTCATGATTGTGAGTTCCCACTTACCAGTGCTATGTGCTGGGAGCAAGTCTTTTGCCCAAGCACTCAGAAATACCAGAGTTTGAACAGCCAGCAGAGCATGTGATCATAGAGCTTGGGATCTGGCATTTCTGGGGGTTTGGATATAACTGGAATACAGTGGCTGTGAATGAGAGATTTATTCACTAGATCTTTCAGTACATTAAATTATTAAAAAATATGACAACCTGCCATGCATCCATTATAAATGGCCAACAGGTGGAATTTTTAAGAGGCTTCAAATACAAAAATGTTGTTGACTAGACGGTTGGAAAGAGATGATGCATTTTGAATTACAGAAATTGCCCTTTGTACAGAATAATAGTAATTTTGATTACAGTTGCACTTTGATTAGACTATGGTTGTGTTGTGATTAATTGCTAGTGCGCTTGCATTGCCATAAGAGCAACAACAAAATCAATCTACTTTTAATATACCATTGAAGGGGGGGAGGGGTCTTAATACCTTCATTTTTAGAATTCTGGTACATTACTGACAGCAGTAACTCACCACAGATATCCATCAACATGTGAAGCTTCCACTTAATGGTAGTTGTAGGTATCAAAATAGTGCAACCACATTGTAATTACACAGTGGAGTGGCTCAGCATAATTACACTCACAGTATGTATAAGGTGTACCCAAAAACCATACTCTCAACACATGCTTTTAAATGAAAGTGGTAATTGCACCTGGGTTTTGATAAGGGACTGATTTAGAGTTTAGAAATTTCATCATGTGATGCAAGGGAAGACAGGCTGTGTTTATAATATTTTGTAGATAAAATCAGCAATCAGGACACAAAACAGTGTTCAGGTAATAAGTGATCACACAACCACCACGTTGGGTAGCTATATGGGTATGATTATAATCACCAAAGAAGCTCCTTTTAATTGCTGCTGCACAAAAAAATGACTTCATACTATTAACAACCATTTTAAAACTCTATGCCTGGCCCAGGGGCACCTGGCAATGTTTAGCCTAATGTGGCTCTTTTTTGTGTGTTAAACAGATGGATGCTTCTGTGGAAACGCTGTACGGCTTCATGCAGGAACGCCAGAAAAGGTATGCCAAGTATGCAGAGCAGATTCAGAAGGTCAATGAGATGTCTGCCATCCTCCGCCGCATACAGATGGGCATTGACCAGACAGTCCCACTCATGGAGAGGCTGAACAGCATGCTGCCTGAGAATGAAAGGCTGGAGCCCTTCAGCATGAAACCGGATCGGGAGTTTAAGTCCTAGTTGCCCCAGACTCCTCTTCCTAACCTTCTCATTCTAGCATCCCGAGTGAGGACGTGTTTCCAGTAAGTTTGATTGGCAGCCTTTTGGAACAGACAGCATTGCTGCCTGACTCTTTGCCAGGGCTTTGAGAAGAGACCTGCGACATTGGCAGAACTGAACTGAAACAGTGTGGCCAGCAATAAAGGAGCTGCCTCCTCTGGTTGTTCCGAGAAGAAAAATAAACTTTCTTCATCAGAGCCTCCAGCACCACCACTCGTATTGAAACATTTACTTTGTTCCTGTTACTAGACTTGGTCTCAGGGAGGAGCAATCCTTCCATCTGTTCTTTTATTAGAAAAATTCATAGGGATACTGGATGCAATAAACCTAATTAACTTTCCATGCCGCTGGGGATTTAGACACCTAGATTTCTGGCAAATATTTATGAGATCCCTTGGCCTTGGTAAGATGTTATAGGTGAAAATGTGGAGCTAGGAATTAGCTTGTTACCCCTGCCTATGATTGTAATTAACATAGCTTCTGTGGCAGGGAAGGGCTTCAACATCTCCTTCCTGAAGGCATCTGTTTTTACAGGCTCACTAATTTATGAGGTTGTAAATGAATAACTTCCAGCAAATAACTTCTGTGGTGGTGGTATAATACAGGCTCAGCATGCCCATGTTGTGACAGGGATCTGGGACAATTGCTGTAGCCCACAATGAGCCCGTCTGAACCTTAGCAAACTTTTAATTGACTGTGAAGGGATGGCAGGCTGGTCAAGTAGTTTTGCTGATGGGAGGACGTAGCTGTTTCAGTATCTTTTAAGAAAGGGAGATTGAGGTGTCTGTAGAGCTTGGTATTGGCTCAGCTGCCATCATTCGACGAATGGTCATGGATGCAGTGTTTTATGACTAGAACCACACAGTCCTTTGAGATTGTGCTCAGTTAAATGTTCCAAAGGCACCAGGACATTCTTGCTTTTATTCCAAACGCAGGTCAGCTCTGGCAGGACGGCCACTTCTGAGAGCACTAGTTCTATTCTCTGCTCTGCCCCAGGCCGTTTGGGTGACCTATGGCAGGTCATCTCAACCACTGGAGTCATGACATCTCCATGTGTAAAACTGGGCTAATGCTTCTTGACTCACCTTTGCTGCAGAATGCTTTGAGGTTAGTAGATGAATCTGTAGGACCTAAACCTGAGTTCACCCACACCAAGGAGTCCTGAGGCAGCATCTGACTCCTGCTAGGAGGCTTTTGCATGCTACTAATTCAAAGAACAGCTTGATTTGAGATGGCCTATGGTAGCTATCTTCCATGTATGGAGGAAGGTTAGATAATTTACCCAGGGTGTGTCTACATGTGTATCGGATTGTGTATTTGTTACTACGTAGTCGTTTAGTACCTGCTTAAGTACTAGCATTACTGCACAGTCCTGATGCCACACTTTTTTCTCATGCTACTGTACAGTAGCCTCAGCATCATGGTTTGTGCATGCCAGCGCCACCTCACCACAGCAATGAGCTACGACAACATAGCTTATCACTACAGCGACGCAGCTTCTTGTGTAGACGTGCCCCCAGAGAATGTAGAATACGTCCTCTGGGTCTGCCTGAGCAGTAAATAGCAGAGCAGCCTTCTGGTAATGCTGTTTGCTCACAGAACAGCACGTAGCGTCCAGCTTCTGTTGTTTCCTTGCTTAAGGCCATGTGTCCAGGAACTGGCATCCATGTTGTAGACCATAGCCTGCTTTGATTTCTCTTTGCAAACATGGTAGTGGTTGCTTTGCCAGGACCCTCTAAGCACCAGCTAGAAAAGGAGTTCTTTGGAAATGAGGATTTTTGTAGCAGCTCTGCCTGAGAAACAACAAGAGTTTGCCAAATTTGAAGCAACTGAAGTAACCTGAATACATCAGGTAAAGGGAGTACCAGGGGGCCTAATTCTCCATGTACCTTATTTACATACAAGTCAAATGGGTGCAAACTTCAGTTCTTCCCTTGCCTTACCCACACATTGGGTTTTACATTTTTACACCTGCTTTGTGCAGGTGTTAATGGCTAGTGGTGTTTCAAGGCAATGCCCTCATGGTCTTGAGCTGTTTCCTAGATTTAGGAAACTTAAAAGCCAGACATATTTTACACTATCTCTGTGGTGGTGGTGGTATCCATGGTAACTTGTGGAGCACTGTGGCAAGATCTGTTAGCATGAACCTTGGGCATCATTCCCTGCAAGCTGTGATCTAATCCTGGTATCAGATGTTCCACCCCATGTGCAGCTTCAGGTAGCAGCTACGTTTTCTGAAATCAGCCTGACCTTCAGATGTTTCTTCCTTTACCAGTGGACACTGGTCTGAGGCCTAGGCTGGTTGTCAGCCAGTGAGAGGATTAGTAATGGGTATCCCACAACTCTGTAAAGCTAAGAACTGGAGGCTTATGCCACTGGCATGGTCTTGAGAGGTGGGAGCCTAAACTGAGTTTGATCACTATTAGAAGATAATACCATGAGTCCAACTGCCCAGAACTTAATGGGAGAGAGTCTGCTATATTAAGATACTGTTATATCAAAGGAACAATGTATCTCATAGCTCTGCAGTTAATTCTGTCACTGAACAAGTGCATATGCACTCACTATTTCCTATCCTAGTGTTTTGCAAACCTGACTTTACAGCAGAGTTTAGGTGGTAGCTTGAATATTACCCCCATTTTTACCATTGTGGGAACTAAGGAAGTAATCCAGCTTTGCCACAGTGAGCAGCTTCCTAATGTGTGAGTGGTTGCCATGAAACATCTAGCCACAAGGCTGGTAATGAAAACATGTTTATGGGTAGGGATCCCTGGGTGCTGCTGAGTAGCCTGTGAGTGCTATCTATATAGTAAGGAAACACAGGAAAGAGGGGCTCAGCATTGGGTATGAAAGTAAAGTATTAAACACTACTAGTTTAACTGGAAGGAGATTACATTGCTGGGTCCCAGTGACAAACTTTTTCAAATGCTTTTACACAAATATTTGTCGCAAGTCAACAGGTGACGAGAATCATCTCTGCTTAATATTAGTTTTGTAAACTGTCAGGTACCCTCTCTCTGTTCTATAAATAATGAGTCAATCACTAGCGTCCATCACTAATGCTTATTACCCAGAAGTCTTTAGACCATTTGCTGAGGGATGGGTAGTTATCTCCTTCCACAAGTTGCCTGGTGGCACTTTTTCTTTACTTGCTGCCCTTTCCAGTCTATCCCACAACCTGTTTCTCCAAGTCATCTCAAATGCCTGCAGTGCCTGGGGGGACAGGCACATTGTTCGCCCCTTTATGCTGTTTCAGACAAGGGTTGGCTTGTAATTTAGCTTCCTGTTAATACTTTTCTAAACCCCACAGACTGCTCTCTACTTTGTGGTGCTTTTTTATGTCATGAAAACCCCCTGGCCAGCACCAGTGAAAAAGATGCAGCCCCAGGGCCCTGACATTGGCTACACTCAGAGGTGAGTGACAAAAGGAAAAATAAATAGATTTGCCCTTCTTCGCTGCTTTCTGTCGTAAAAGGGGCAGAACACTGAAACCTGGGTGCATTGTTTATAACATTAAAACCTAATTGGCCCAAACTCATTAGATGCTTTGGAGGACAGTTCTTACTATAAGATTTAGCTCCATGCTCCTTCAGGGATGCTAAGAAGTAAGTTTCTGTTTCTACAACAGAAACTGCATGGATTATCCTAATGATAGCAAAGGTAGAAAAGGTGTTTTTTCTTTTCTTTTAAAGTAATGATGGTGGGGTGGGGTCAGGCCATTTTACAGCAAAAAGGCACAAACACCTTTACTGTCCCCTTTTGGCAGCAAGAACCTACCTCTCTCCTTTATCAGAGGGGTCAAGGTGATTGGGTCTTTCAAAACCATCATAACCTTTCACACTTTTCCTGTGTTGTCTCAAGCCTGCTTTAATGAAAACTGTATGCTTGTACCACTTAGTGCAGGGCTACACTTTCTGCTTTATTTCTGCACTGATAATGGCGTGTTATAGCTATCAATACTGCTCCCCGGGGTGGGGGTTTTCTATGAGTTGGTCTTGCTTTCCACAGTCTAGGTAGATGCCCAAAGCTGTTATCGTCTCCTTCTCCCTGCTCCCCTACCCCCATTTTAAATGGCTTCTGAAGTCATGAGCAGAGGGTTGAACTAGATGACCTCCTGAGGTCCCTTCCAGCCCCACTTTTCTATGATTCTATAACTCAGCTTTTTTCTTGCACCCAGTGGTTCTGCTTTTATCTTCCATTCCTCTTTTCCTTCCTTAGCAAGTACTCTCACATAAAGACATGTGTCTCAATTAGTCTAGCTCTGCCTCAGAAACATGTCAACAAGCACTCTCAAGGAATGAAGTCAGTGGTCTCCTTCTAGGAGTCTTTCCTGATTCCAACGGAGTCCTGTTTGAATGAGTGATATGATACGTGTGTTAAGCAGTGAGAGTTTGGTTCAGTTCTGTAACGTCTTGGAGCGTGCTGGGGGAAGGAGAGAAGAGGCTTGCTGACTTTCAGCTGCAGTCTACGTCCCAGGTTTTTCTTGTGTTATAATTACAATGAAAATATTGAACTGCTTTGAAAATAGTGGAAATAGTTGAGAGGAGTTAGAGAGGCACTAGCTGCTTGTGCAAGAACAGCCTGGTACTTCTTCATGTGTCCTATACCATCCCTCTCCAATTCCTTCTCATCCTCCTCAGTTTGCTTTGAGATCTGTGCACTCAGTAGTTCTGCCCCTGCTCTTCTCAGCTTTATGTAAAGCGTTTCAGTGCTGAGTTCACAGCAGTGGGTTTCAGCTAGGACTTGGGATTGCTGATGATGAGCTTGAAGTCTTAAATGAGCAGCACTTCAGAGACAGCTAGTGACAGCCACTTACTACTTTGTTCCTATTTTCTCCTCAAACTGGATGGGCCATTGTTACACAATTGCTTCTAAATGTGAGGAAGAACAACCTTCCCAGTGTCTTCAAGGTCCTAAATGAGCATTATTAGGTTCCCTGCTGAGTAACATTCTCATTCTGCAAGCTAGTTTGAGTTGAGCTGTGAATATTATATTATCTAAAGGTCCTATGAACTAAGTCACTGAAGGATAGGAAAGGGTTGTAGGTTACAGAAAGTTTCAGAAGTCAAATGTATTTCAAGAAAAGCTGGATTTTGGAATTTGCTTTACAGCAGATACACCCATTTCTCCAGGAACCAATATCAGCTTCTGCTGAAAAGCAAGAAGGGTGATATTGCCATTTGGTTCACAAAACACAGCTTTAAAACACATCATCACCATAATAGCCTTCTCTTGGTAATTAGCAAAAATTATCAGCAAGTGAAACTGTTGCCTCTAAACTCACCATTAACCTGCTGGACTCAGAGGAGGAAACCTTCTGTACCATCCCTATATCCTGCT